TCGCTCGTAACGTGAAGGTGGGAGATCCAAACTAGACAGTACGCAGACGGAACTCAACAAAAACACCGCTTCTATGGCTCAAGTGATTGAGCTTCAGGATTGGGCTAAATGGCACCCACTCCGTCTCTATCATAACCCTAGTCACCGACGCTTGGGAGGGAACATGGGGCTAGTTAGGGTGGAAATCAACGCACCTGCAAGGATGAGGCACATGACCCAGACTAGGACCTGTGGCCGAAATCTCCCCATTAAATCCCCATTCCCCCCCATCATTCTTCTTCAACCTCAACCTTCGCGCTTGCCGGACCATTCTTTTTGATATCTCGAAAACAGACAATGGTGGTCAGCGCCCCAAACAGTCCTTTCGGTGACGATGCTTCCGTCAAGATCTTTCTCGGCCCCGTTGTGGTGGATGCTCCATACATGGTGGATGTTCCGTCCCTGGTGGATGCTCAGAACCGCCTGAAGAAGATGTCCCACAAGACCCTAGTTATTCGACAGGATATCCCAAATTCAGTGGGGAGAGCCAATCATCCTATCATTGGCAACCAGCGTATGTCCGTTTGCGCTCCCTCATTGCGGCTCGGAATATGGAAGATAATCGGCAACTCGAACCGAGACTTAGTAGTGGTTGGAAAAATTGCCTATGAAGCTCTACAGTCTGTGCCCCAAGCAATGGAATGCCATTTCAGCTGGTTTGAGAGTCAGTCAATTCTGGACGAGCTCATTTCCGTACATTCGCTACGACGACTTCAAGAAGGAATCCGGGTTACCGATCTGACCCCAGGACATGGCGTTGCATTCGGCAAGACCGAGGCATTCCATGTAGCTTTTGCAGGGAAGCGGTGGCAGCAAGGTGGCAGGGTGACGATGTTGTTTGTCAAGACCCCTACGCCTCCTGGGTGGACCTCCTTGTGGTCATTTCTCCGTCGGTCTCCAAGCCAACCGAAAAATACCTTGTGGTGGGCTGCTCTTGCATTTGATCAGGTTCTTCAAACCTATACCGAGCAGATACAAGATTGTCTGGCGCTACTCGTTTGTGGCCCGTCCGGTTTGGAGGCGCAAAGCCATTATCGGGAAATCACTCAGTCTGAGGTGCAAATGTGCGATATGACGAGGTACCACGACATCCACACGCAGGCGGATGGGCGACACCTTGTGCGCGCCGGGATGTTCGCTCTGGTGACGCCGAATTCTCGACAACCTGAAGAGAGCGCCAAGACACTCCTGGCGTCACAACAACCCCAGGAGAAGAATACCGAAAAGGAAGCACTGACAGTCCCGCTGGAAAATGTTTCGACTCGTTACTGGTGGGAACAAATACTAGAAACCGATCATTCGGAGAGGTCACCATGTACTGACTGGCTTCGCTATGGTAAATGCGGCCAACCCTTGAAGGAAGCTCAAACCCTTGCAGGTTTGTGCGGTGTTTGCCAGACAGATCTGAAGGAGTTTCCCCTCATTTGGAAGTGCCAACAATGCCAAATGATAGCTCATACTTGTTGCGCAGGGTTCGAAGGCTGGGACCATGATAAGAAGGATATGTTCTGTCCAAAATGTTCGTGTCGTTATCCCGGGGTCGAAGCGATAGAGATGCCGGACCTCCTTCATGGCTATCTGACCCCTGCGCAGTTAAGAACCCTGGAAGATTACTCGGCACGACAGCCACGTTACACTCGATCACAGGCTTAATTACTATTATTTGTATAGAGATTTGAGTGCCATAGCCTATAGCACTGCTGGTTTGTACGTAGATATACATTACAGGCCATACAGAAGGTATACACCTGCCTCGGGCGCTTCTGCGGCCGTGCCTGATTGACCACCTCTTGCAACGCGTTCCGTGAGCGTTTTGCGCCCTGTAAACACCGGCCAGGACGCTTGCCGCCCCGGGCGCAAGCGGCGAGACGTTGTCTGCGCTCGATTGTGTGTGCAAATAGCGACTCGAACACTAGGAGTTGACTATCTGAGGCTAGGAGGGACTCAACTAGTCCCTCCTGGAACGATCAATGTAAGCCCTTTGAATTGCCATCTTCATTAGGCCTATTTGTCTGCCAAACTAGAAAGGAGTTCACAGCGCAAACATCAAACAGCCACCACAGGATCGGCCTCCACCAACGCGCCTCGAACGGCCTGTGGGAGGTAAAGGACTGCCTAAGCTGATTTGTGAGATCGACGCCATTCATGTGGCGGTTGTAAGCGTCAATCACACTAGGAATAGGCAGTTCCTTGCGGACTTGGTCACCAAAGACTGGCAGGACAATTGACATGGTGGAAGACGTCAAAGGGAAGGGCAAAGGAGGACGTCAGGAAAGCGAGGTGCCCGAGAAGGTAGGCAAGGTAGGCACAGAGAAGGACATGAGACAGGGGCAGGACGATGACGAAGAAGCATCCGCCCCCCCCCCCC